GCCGAATGTTTACGTTCTGAAGTTCACAGCCGTGAAGCAATATTTATTTCAGGGTATTAGCTGGAGTGTCCGTTCTCGGAAAAGTTTTTTTTTCTCGTCCCTTGCTTGGCGGAAAAATTTTTTTGTTGGTATGTTCTCTGATCGGTCTTCGTCCGATAATACGACGCCTCGGTAAATTGATTCGCGAGGACCGGCAATTAGCGCGTCCACGGCCGAACGAACACGATCCTTGAAATGGATTCCGACGCCGAAAACGAGTCGCGCGACTCCACGAATTATCGTTAGAACAATTGCGCGAAGAATTAGAATGCCGCGGATTGAAAACGGAAGGAATATTACCCCCGTCTTTGCGTGCGCGGCTGACCAAAGCCGTTCGCTGCGAGCAATTAGGGTGGAGCCGCCGCAGACTCCGGAAACGGAAGGCGAGGATAGCGGGGATGATCGCGCATCGGGCGAATCGAGTACCGGAACGATCATCAAGGACGATCGAGTTCGGACCCCCGGGAATGGATTTCGCGGAGCATCTCTTGCAGCCTCCGTTACTACAGCTGCCGAGACGCGAACCGGAAATTCGTGCGCCCGCGCGTCGTACCGATTCCGCGACCGACGTTAATCAGATGATGCGTCGGTGGAACCTTAAATTCTCCGGCGCTCGAGGTTGCGACGCGGAAGCCTTCCTATTGCGTATCGAGGAGGGTCGCGCCCTATTCACGGCCACCGATGCCGACGTATTCAAGTTGTATCCCTTTCCCTTTTTGAACGGCAACGGCTTTATATTGGTATCGGAACGAGCGCGGACGGTGGCGGACTTGGAAGAATTTGAAACGGTCGTGGCGTGCGCGGTTCGGTAGTCCGGACTTTCAGTTCGCGTTACGCGAAGACATACGAGACGCACGCAAGGGGAATACGAGTCGAATTGCCGATTGGCCGATTTTCTTACTTGTATTCGCGCGATGTTTGAGAGACTGAGTCCGCCGTGGAGTCTGGAAGAACAGCTTAACCAGGCTCACCGGAATATGTTGCAGCGGTTGCAAATCGTAGTTCAGCGCCGCGACTTTTACGATTTTGCTTCACTGGAGAGTCAGGCTACGCGAGTGGAGCAGGGGTACGAAGCCGCTAGTCGATATCGTTGCGCCTCCGCCGCCGGAACAGATGATATTTCCCGGATCTCGCGTATCGGGCACCGCCGAAGAGTTCTAAGAAAACTCCCGCGGTCACGGCTATCGGATTGACGGATGACCTCCCAGGAAAGAAGCGTGCCGAGAGACGCGCGCGAAAAGAGGCCGCTCGCGCGACGAAGGCACAATCTAATTCCGCACGACAGAATAGTGAGGCTGCCGCCTCTACGAGTAACGTCGCGCGTCCTCGATCACGCGAATTCTGCGAAATCATCCGGTCAAATGCTGGAACTGCGACAAGGCCGGCCATATCGCACGCGAATGCGCTGAGCCGCGCCGCGTATATTGCTATCGTTGCGGGAAAACAAACGTTACCGTCCGAACGTGCCCGGCATGTGCGGGAAACGAAAGCGGGAATCACTAGGGCGGGCCCCCCGGTGATCCCGGAAATCTTAGAAAAGGCCCGCGCGGAAGCCACGAGCGAGGCCTCTACTTGTCGTCCAGCTCACTCGGCGACGACGCTCGAACGCTCTGTCGCAGCTCCCGTACTGCGAGATCTCGCTGGGGGCGAAACCTTACGCGCTCTGATCGACTCGGGGTCAAATAGAACCATCCTCGGAGCCGCGGGCATAACAATTATTCGCCGGTTGAGATCGCCGATTAACCGCGATCATCGTACGCAGATTCGAACCGCGAACGGACAGCTAGCGGAGGTACGCGAAGAAGCAGAGATTACGCTTCAAGTAGCAGGTCGAAGCCGACGACGTCTCCACGTGTTTGTTGCCGAGCCTAGCCGTCCCGTGTAATTAGGAGTCGATTTTTTGCGCGCGTTTAAGGTAATAGTAGACTTTGCTGCCGCGGAATGGTATTTCGCCGACGAATCAACGTGCAGGTACCCCTTTCTAAATAATAAGGGATCTGCGCAAACGTGCTGTGGACTCCTCGGAACTGACCCCGTCGGAAACCGAAAGATTAGGTAGATTTCTTAAAGAGCGGTTGCCGGACCCTGTTGAGAATCCCGGTGTCACTTCGCTTACCGAGCATACGATAGATGTCGGACAAAATAAGCCGATCCGGCAGCGCTGCTACCACACTCGTATCTCCGAAGGTACAGGAAGCAATTCACGCCGAGGTAGATAAAATGCTGCGCGCCGGGATAATCGAACCCTCGCATAGCGAATGGTCAAATCCGATCGTGATGATCAAAAAGCCCAACGGAAAGTATCGCTTTTGTTTGGATTTCCGAAGGTAAACGACGTGTCGAAAAAGGACGCCTACCCGCTGCCGAATATGAACGGCATACTGGACAACTGCTGCGTTCGGCGCGTTCATCTCGACGATCGACCTGAGCCAAGCTTAGCTTACTTTCAAGTGCCCCTCGCGAATGAAGCCGCGAGATTACCGCCTTTAGCGTTCCGGGGAAAGGCCTGTATCAGTTTACGCGGATGCCGTACGGCTTGACGGGAGCGCCGCCGACATTTCAACGGTTACTTGATCGACTGATAGGACCGGAGATGGAACCGCATGCTTTTGCGTATTTAGATGATATTGTGATCGTGACGCCAACTTTCAAAGAGCATTTAGAATGGCTGGATCGCGTGTTGCAAAAGATCCTCGCTGCCGGATTAACGATAAATCCCGAGAAGTGCGAATTTTGCCGCGCACAAGTTAAATATCTCGGTTCATTGTGAGCAAGGAGGGATTATCAGTAGATCCGGAGAAGGCACAGCCGATTCTCGAGTACCCTACCCGGCCCCTACGAATTTAAAACACTCCGACGATTTCTGGGTATGTCGTCCTGGTATCGGAGGTTTATTCCTCAATTCGGCGACGCGGAGCGAACCGCTAACGCGCCTGTTAAAGAAAGATCAGCCGTGGAAATGGGACCAACGAACAGGTCCACGCGTTTTGAGGAAATTCGATCGTATCTCGTTGCCGCGCCCACGTTTGTCGCGACCCCCGATTTCAGCATTCCGTTCGTCCTTCAGACGGACGCTAGCTCGGTCGGAATAGGTGCCGTGCTTACGCAAACTATTAACGAGGAAGAACACGTAATCGCTTTCGCAGATAGAGCCTTAGCCGATCCGGAAAAGAGATACACCGTGACGGAGCAGAATGCTTAGCCGTTATCTGGGCTATAAAGAAGTTTAGACCGTACTTAGAGGGCTATAAATTCACGGTGATTACCGATCATAGCAGTCTGCGATGGCTTCACACTTAAAGAACCCAACAGGTCGACTCGCGAGATGGGCGTTAGAGCTTTTGGAGTACGATTACGAGATCATATACAGGAAAGGCGCGCTAAATCACGTGCCTGATGCGTTGTCGCGAATGTTCGAGGGTGACACCGAGATTCCCATTGTCGCCGCTGTAGATGTCGAAGAAAACGCGAACACGAACGATGCCTGGTATAAGAAGCGTCTTACGGAAGTCGCCACGAAAGCGCGTCCGTTTACCGATTGGAGAATAGTGGACGGACAACTATATTTCTGTCGACCGAAGCCGTCGTGTCGGAGATCGTCGAGGATCTGGATAGGTGGAAACTCGTGTTGCCTAGAGAGTTGCGGAGAGACGCGTTGAGAGAGGCACACGACGAACCGCGATCCGGGCACCTCTCGGGTTGAGAAACCTACCACCGATTAGCCGTTCGTTATTACTGGCCGAACATGTTTAGAGATATCACGGACTATGTGAAACGGTGCGAGGTTTGTCAACGAACTAAGGTAGAACAGGCCAGCCCTGCTGCGGGTTTAATGGGCCACCGCGTTGTCGACGCTCCCTGGACCGTAGTAGCTGCCGACGTAATGGGACCGTTCCCTCGAAGTAAGTCCGGTTTCACATACGCCCTCGTTATCCAGGATTTATTTACAAATGGATCGAGTGTTTCGCGCTAAGGGCAGCTAACGGTAAGAAAATCGTCGAGGCGTTAGACGAAGTCGTGTCGCGATGGGGTACGCCGAAGTTTTCTGTTGACCGACAACGGGACAGAATTCGTCAACCATACCCTAGTAGCTTTCGCAAAGGATTACGGAATCACAATTACTAACACTCCCCCGTATCATCCCCAAGCGAATCCGACGGAACGCGTGAATCGTATCGTGAAGACGATGATAGTCGCGTTTATCGAGCAGGATCACCGAGAGTGGGATGAGCACTTGGGAAAGTTTCGTTTTGCGTACAATACCGCTCATCACTCCTCGATTGGTACCTCGCCCGCGTTTTTGAACCTCGGACGAGAATTATGGCCTCCGAAAACTATACGCGCAAGATATAATGAAGTTGTCGACATACAACGTAGAGACCCAGCTGAGTGGTCAGATCGTATGAAGGCTATTGCGCCTTTGCGCGACTGGGTTTCCGAAATCTCGAACAAGCCTATCAAAGCTCACAGTATTACAATCTGAGACCCGCGATTCGCGTACAAAATCGACGATATGGTACTCAAGACAGCACGTACTGTCAGCCGTGTACACGAAAAGACTGCCAAAGTATAGTGGCAATAAGAGAGGCAGCACGTACTGTCAGCCGCGTCGAAAAATTTTGCCGCCAAGTTAGTGCCAAATTTCATGGACCGTTTCGCGTTAGCAAATATTATCGCCTGTCGTTTATGAGCTCACCGATGTAGAGGGTAGAATCGTTTTAAAGGTACATGCAAAAGACCTCAAACCTATCACCTTCCTCGCTTCTAGATAGTTGTCGGAACCCTAGTAGGAAAAGGATCTTTTCCTTCTAGCCCTTACTAGTTTTTTTTTTGTTGTTGTCGATTGGTGGCCGCTGAGGTTTTTCTTTTGTGTAGATATAGTTAATAAACAAGGAGAGAGGCCTCCGGCCCACCTAATCGTACTACGCTGAGTGACCTTTCTTTTCCGTCCCTTCTGCGAATTTTGCATGTGCCACGTGAACATTGGAGCGAGACCGTTCGCTCCACCAAGAACCGCTATTAATAGAGAAAGCCGTCGATACGGGAAGAGAGAAATCAGCCGCTGTCGAGTCATCGCCCTGGTATCATTTCAAGGTACCCAGTACGTAAGTAGCAGGCGAATGGATGACGGCGTCGGTTCCTGGTCGGAACCTTCCCCCCGGTCCTCCTCTGGAAAGGGGGAGTTGTGACGTGACACATTGAAATTGTCCGTCACAAGGGCTGAATGGCCCGATCGGGGGAGGGCACGGGACCTCTGCTCTCCCGAGACAGTGAGGAGGAGAGAGAGGCGTGCGTGCGAAAAAGCGCGGGATCGGACGCGAACCCGCTGCTACGCGTTTCCATATATTTTTTTTGTTGTTTTGTTTGAGAGTTAGGATTATTTCGGCGGCAGACAGGATGTGCGACGAGTCTCAGCGATAGAGAAAACTGGGAGGAAAAAGGAAGGCATAGGAAGCAGGACGACGGGGACCCCCCTTCGTCAGGGACATGCCCGGTAAGCCAAAGTTAAATTTTTCTTCACCAAATATCCGACAACGGAGTAGTGCCACTGCCTGAAAATTTGTACCTTCCAGGGGCGAACAGGGGATGGCCACTCGGGTGCAACAAGCACCCGAGAGTCCCCGCATACGGAGCGCCGGCAGGAGAGCTGCCGCCCCCGGGACTTCCGGAATCCCGAAGGAGAGCCAGGAGCGGCCCTGCCGTGCGCTGCCGCGACGACCGCCTACGAAGGGCAACCCGCGGATCAGGACTCCGCGGGTAAGGATAATTACGCGCGCGGCCGCAAGGATCACCGAGGCCGCGCGCGCGGCCGACCTGATAGCGCCGCGAGTGGCCTATCTACATAATTGGGTCACCGACGTGTCTCCTGAGGGCCCCCGGTTCGGCACTGTCTAGCGAGCGCCCGAAGAGAGCGGAGGTCCCGAGACGGAAGCGCAACTTAGGGAGAGCGAAAGAGGAGAGGACGATAAGGATCGTTATAGGACTGGTGAGACGACGTGGTCATCCTGCTGTCGCCGAATTAAGGTAGCCGGGTGGATGGGTCCCGAATTACTTTCGTGAAGAGAGTATGCCGGACTTAGAGTTGCCGGCCAGTTATAAAATACGAGAGATTCGTTTTATCGTCGAGTCACGGTATTAACGTAATGAAACTCCATTGGGAGAAACTATGACCCATCCACTCTCTTGCGTTTTCGCGTATTCTCTCTCTCCCGCGTGACAGTCTTCGCGCGTAACATTGTCGCGCGAAAATTACCGCGATTTACGCGCGTTGCCGATTATTGTTCGAAGCGAAAATCAAAGAGCTCATAAACGCTTTCAGGCTCATTAAAGTAGTATTGATAATGTAAAGTATTAATGTTGTAAAGTATTGAGGTTGTAAAGGCTTAAACGAAAAGGCGTGATTACGTTTGATTTTGTGTGTGGAATTTATGTACGCGCACGCGGTGCGCGCCCTTACGCCGGCCCCTTTGTTGTCGCGCATACGCGCGGATCACGCGCCCGCGGCGTGGAGCCATATACCCGGTGGCGCGTCGCCGATTTAATTAATCGTCTTTTCGTTATTGGGGACCCTACTTTGTTGCCGCGAATTTGTTAAGGATTATTCCTAACGCGGCACGGCGAACCACCGGGCGTAGTGCCCCACCGAACTCTCAATCGTGCGTCTGTGCACGCCGCTTATTTCTTTATATTATATACTCATGTGTTTTGTGAACCAAAGTTAAATATATGTTTTACTAACTTTAATTCCTAGGGTGATTTCTTGCCGCCACGCCCGAACCCTTACCCGCACAGAGGCTAGCCGAGCGGGAAAGTTGCCGTCGCGATCTCTCTCTCTCCCGTGATTGACGCCCGCGAAAGGGCTAGGACAAGAGGTCCGAGGAAATTAAGACTTAGCGTCCCGCGAATTTATTAATTGAGAGACGGTGCGGCTGCCGCACCTGGCGCCCAACTAAATTGAGATTTTAGTTTTTCTCTTTATTATTTTTTTTGTTTTGTTGCAAATTTTTTTTTGTGATCGAACGGAGAGATCGCGCCGAAGGTAACCGATATTCCGCAGGAGACTTTTCTCCTTCCGCGACGAATGGATATTCGCTGCGAATTCCGCGCGATACGGTTATATATATATAAATCGTTACTGTTCGCGAATAGAAATGTGGAAAACTGTGAGACGGCCTTCGCCGAGGTAACGAGACTGCACGAAAATTTTTGGTTCGACGAGTCAATTCCTTTTAATTAACACGAACCGTTTATTTTTTTTTCCCGCCCGTCCGTAAATACGTTTTTCGAATACATATATTTATTACAAGATACGAATCATCATCACTTTATAACTGTTCGCGCATAGCCAGACGGAACATGCGGACACTGATGACAGCCGAAATTGAATTCAATTTAATTAAGTGTTTCACTTGTGAGATGGGGTTTAGCGATAATTTGATTACAAGAATTGAATGGCGATTAAATCTAACTCGCAGTTGACCTCTGAACTGATTTCAAACGAAAGAGAATACATGGTGTTGCTTTCAAATACGCACCAGCTTTCTGCAGCGATAATTATTGCAAATTGGTTATTGGAATTAAATGAGTTTAACCCGTTTTAATCGAAATACATCGAATACATTGAATATGTTCTAATTGGAATTTTGTTGGTGCAAAATTTGTCAAATTGTAATGTTTTAACGTGTGTATATTTATATAAACAGATGTATGAGTTAAAATTTTCTCTTTTGTCTGAGTGCCGATCAATTTTGCCGTGATTTTACGAAATTT